CTTGAAAGCGTACTTTTCCTTCAAGAGCAGCGGCCGTGTGTTTGGATACACAGTGCTGGAGCCTGCGTGTCCCCCACCCAGAGCCAGAGCGCCAGGGCTCGGGGGCTTCCTCGGGCTCTCAGGAATTGTGCTTCAGGAGACGCAGGCTCCGAGGCAGCAGGGAAAGCAGGGGCTGCGTGACAGAACGTAGACCGTACTAGCACACCGGCGACATCCGTCAAGCAAGAGTCCCAGAACACTCGTGCACCCTGAGCCCCCATAGCTGGCCAGTTCAGGGCACGCCGGGTGCCCCAGGGCGAAGGGTGGAAGTGACCCAGGCTCCGGGCTCTGCTGGAGTCCTGAGGACGCCTGCTTCCTCGTGTCCCTGGCTGACTCTGCTCTGAGCGCGTCTTCCCGTGCTGCCTTCCTCCTGGTTTTCCTTTTAATTTTCGTGCTTCCTCCCGTGGGTCCAGCTGAGTGTGAGGATGGACACACAATGCCTGGGGCCTGGGACAGAGTTTGGGGAGTGTTGAGTCTCCCCAGGTCTCCCTGAGCTAGCTGGGTCTCCCAGGTCTCCCCAGGTCTCCCAGGTCTCCCCAGGTCTCCCCAGGTCTCCCTGAGCTAGCTGGGTCTCCCCAGGTCTCCCTGAGCTTGCTGGTGCTCCCTGGAGCCGCGCTCCTCCTCTTCCTGTCCAGCTAAGTGGAGTTGCCCGTGAGGAATTGCATTCCTGGCTCATATCTGAACCGGGGACAGCACTGTTGCTGTGTGTGCTTTTGACACTGGATCTGCTTCATACGCAGGGGTGCATAGCAGCAGTATAATTTCTCTGTGCTGAACTCCCTGTGTGCCTCAGGGTACATTCTAGGTTACAGTTCTGTGTGCAGAGCTCTTCAAAAGGACGAAAGGCCTTGGCGCAGCAGCTGAGGCCCTGGACACCGCGGCCGTATCTGAGGGCCTGGCTCTGCTTCCCATCCCAGTTTCCTGCCGATGCGCACCCTGGGAGTTGGCAGATGACGGCTCAAGCACGTGCGTCCCTGCCACCCCTGCGGGAGACCTGGGTTGGGTTCCTGGCTCCTGGCTTCAGCCTGGCCCAGCCTTGGCAGGCATCTGGGCAGTGAACGAGAAGCTGAGAGCTCTCTGCCTGCCTGTGTCTACAGTGCTCACTCTCTTTCCCTCTCTCTCTCCCTTTCACATAAAAATGGAAATAAATAAATAGCTGCAGTAAAGTCCCGCCAGTCTTCACTGGCCTGCTTTAGAACCATCACTGCCCTGAGCGTTGCAGGACAGCGACAAAACCCTGGAGGCTGTGACTCTGTGGGCAGCAGGGGAGCAAGCCCATCCCTGAGACGATGCACCTGGTGCTTCCCGGGCCTGTCCCGTGTCCTCTCTGGTGCCCTTGGCCTCCAGCAGCAAATCCACCCACCTCGTTGTCTCTCAAGCTTTAAAGCTGCAGAAATCCGTCCCTGTTTCCTCTCCTGGGGAGCTGGACTCACCCATCCTTAGTGCTTGCAAGCAGGAACCCAGGGAGACTCCTTCCCCGGTGGCTTCCCACGACTCAGAGGGAGGCGGCTGCAGCAGGGGGGCCGATCGGCCCTGCAGGAGCAGACCCCGGGCTCCTGCGCCAGCCCCGCCTGGCGGTCACTCAGACTCGGCTCTGTCGGCAGCCTCCGGTCTTTAAGGAACAGGCCTGTGAGGTAGTGTGGGACAGTACGAGGAAGGAGGGCACCCTGCAAGATGCTGTCCCTGAGACTCCAGGTGCCTGTGGGACACAGGGCCCGTGCTGGCCAGGGTGCATGGTGGGGGCAGCACCCACTGCCTTGGGAACACATCAGGGTTCTGTTATCACCGTTCACCAATGCAGCCGTTTACTTCCCTGCTAGCTTCGAAGTCGTCACAGGTGTGTCAGCCACCTGCACACAGAGACCTAGTTATCGTCAGCTTCTAGAATGTGCAGGTGCAGCACACGTTGGTGAGAGCCAAGCCCGTGCTAGAGTCGCGGCCACCACAGCTCTTTGCCTCTGGAATGCGTTTACGAGGGTCACAGAGAAGGCCCATGGCCAGGGTCAACACCACACCCTGTGCCACCTACAGACATCCCTCTCCCCCACCCTGTGGGTGACAGTGTGGCAGCTGGGGTGCTGGGCCCGACTCTGGGCCAGGGCGTGGCTCACTCGTGGAGCTCTGGGGAGGCCAGGGCGGCAGGAGACTCAGCGGCCGTGTCCTCTTGGCGGCTAGCACCCTGGGCACCCTGGGACACAGGGAAGCACCCTGCTTCTGGAGGCACTTGCTGCCGGCCATTGATTCCCTGGTCTGAGTTTTACTGTAAAATGACACCTTCTTAGTGTGGTCCTTCCATTGCAAGTAGGACGTTCAGATGCTTCTCTGCTCTCTGGGCGGGGTACTTGATTTTTTTTTTTTTTAGTTTTAAATTCATGGAGTGATAAAAAGAAGTGTGACATATTTTCTAAATGCCACTAGATATTTTTAGTCTTTCTCCACAAAAGTAATGAGTCACACACACCACGCGGCATAATTCGCGGACATCTTATTTTGCATTTGCAGGGTTCTTTGCCATATTGAAAATTAAGTCGTTGGGTACCGTGCTGTTTTTTGCTAAATCTTGCAGAACTGTCAGTTACTCTGCTGGCAGGGTCTGACTCTTTCCTCACTTTTTCTGGTATAATCTTTGAAGATTTATTTATTTATTTGAACGGCAGAGTTAGAGGAGTGACAGAGAGATCTTCCATCTGCTGGTTCGCTGCCCAAATAGCTGCAATGGCTGGAGCTGGGCCAGGCTGAAGCCAGGAGCCAGGCGCTTCTTCCAGGTCTCCCACGTGGGTGCAGGGGCCTAAGCAGTTGAGCCATCTTCCGCTGCTTTCCCAGGTACATTAGCAGGGAGCTGGATTGGAAGTGGAGCAGCCAGGATGTGAACCAGCGCCCATGTGGGATGTTGCCCTGTGCATGCTGGCTTCACCCACTGCTGCACAGCGCCAGCTGTTGTCTGGTGTGATTTAGTGCTGTCCGTGTTAACCGGATGAGGGCAGCCACAGGGGCACCGTGACTGTGCCTTGTGGAGGCCCTGCCGCGAGCCTAACTTCATTTCATCCATGTTTCCTTTGAGTGTGAGCAGGGCTGGGGAACACCAGGCCCATGGGCCAGATAAGGCTCACGGAATCATTTGGTCTGGCCCTGCCAAGGAGACTTGAAGTCCACCAAATCTGCAGCAGGCTGATAAGCTGGTAATGGTGTGCTGTCCGCGGATGACACCGTAAGCACCCGGCTGGCCCGTGGCAGAAGCAAGGGGCCCCACCCCTTGTAAAGAGTGAAAGGTGAGTCTTACCCAGGATGTCCCCAGATACTGACGTTGCACGAGGGCCCAAGGCAGAGTGGGCTGCCGCTTGCACACAGCCTGTGAACTTGGGGTCATCTGCAGCCTATCTGCGTCACCTGCCACACTGGCAAGAAGCCTGTTCTGGGCACCGTGGCACACATGCTATTCCCGGTGCTGTTGCTGCGTGGTGGGTGGAGTCCCTGGCTGCCTCGGCAGCCATGTCTCGGGTGCGTGTGTGGCCAGAGAGAGAGGGCCGGGGCAGAGGCTGCTGTCCCGTGGAGCAAGCATTTGGGGCACAGAAGGCAGGGCAGCAGTCACCCCTAGTTCTGGCTGGGGAGGAGGCGATGGCTGCAGAGTAGGCATGGGCGTGGGCGTTAGGAGGAACAGGTGTTGCTCTAGGACCCTGGAGGCCTTCCAGGCACGCACAGGTGAGAGCAGAGGTGCCTGCAGCCTGGGGCTGCGGGAGGGTGTGGAAAGAGGAGGGATGCGGCCTTGGGGAGGCCAAGCAGGAAGGCAGAGCCCGCTGTAAGGGCCCCTGGGTTTTGGAGGTTGTGAGGGAGTCGGGGCAATGGGTGGAGGCCGACCCTTGGGTGAGTTCCCACTGCGGGGTGGAAGGAGACTGGGAGGAGAGGAGGGACGGCCCCTGCCCCTGAGCCTTCCCTGACACCGCTGGCCGCTCCGGGGTACCTGAGGTGCAGGTGGGGTGGACAGGGAAGTTCCTGTCCTGCGAGGTTCCCAAGGCCCTGACCACAGCCACCAATTTGAGGGCCTGAGGAGAGCAGAGGGGCCTCTGCTGGTGCCGGGGCAGCGACCTGTTCCTATCACCATGGTCACAGCAGAGGGCTCGGCACATGGGCAGGGCCAGCGACCTGTTCCCCCTCATCATGGTCACAGCAGGGGGCTCGGCACATGGGCAGGGCCAGTGACCTGTTCCCCATCACCACGGTCACAGCAGGGGGCTCGGCCACGTGGCAGGGGGCAGCCACGGTCACAGCAGGAGGCTCGGCCACGTGGCAGGGCCAGCGACCTGTTCCCCCTCACCACGGTCACAGCAGGGGGCTCGGCCACGTGGGCAGGGCCAGCGACCTGTTCCCCATCACCACGGTCACAGCAGGGGGCTCGGCCACGTGGCAGGGGGCAGCCACGGTCACAGCAGGAGGCTCGGCCACGTGGCAGGGCCAGCGACCTGTTCCCCCTCATCACGGTCACAGCAGGGGGCTCGGCCACATGGGCAGGGCCAGCGACCTGTTCCCCCTCACCACGGTCACAGCAGGGGGCTCGGCCACGTGGCAGGGGGCAGCCACGGTCACAGCAGGAGAACTCGGCCACGTGGGCGGGTGGGGGCCTGGATATAGCAGAGGGAACTCAGCCACGTGGACAGGGGCAGGCCTGAACACAGCAGGGGCACTCGGCCACGTGGGCGGGGGCAGCCCCGGATACAGCAGGGGCACTCGGCCACGTGGGCGGGGGCAGGCCCGGACACAGCAGGTGAACTCGGCCACGTGGGCAGGGGCAGGCCTGGACACAGCGGTTCCAGTCTCCTTCCGTGGTCTGCCATTGCGCTGTGACTTCTACTTGTGTGATCCCCAGCCCTAAGTTGTTTGCGGACCGAAACGGAGCTTTTGTATTTGGTTTCATACTTCAGTGAGGTCTCAGGGCCTCAGTCCTCTCATCTGTTAACTGGTGTCGCTCCCCCTCTTCGTGGAGGAACGACACAGGACCCTGCGCTGTTCTTTCGTCTGCTCGGCCCTTCCCGGGTTTGCTGCTGGTTCTTCCCGGGTTGGCTACCGTCCCTTCCACCTCCGTGGAAGGGCGGTTCCCCCTGGCCACTTTCCCCACTTCCGCGGGGGAGCGGCACACCGCCGGCCGGCTCTCTCGGGGGCTGCTCAGATGTTCCTTCAGATAGATGTTCCTGGTGCATGTTGTCTCTCTCCTCCTTTATAGTCCTCTTCCACCAATCCCAACTCTGCTACCCACACGCCGAGTACGCTGCTCTCCTCCAATCAGGAGCAGGTCCTGCTGTTTATTGGTTGAACTGGAGGCAGCTGTGTAGAAGTTGTTACTCCCTTCTCAGCGCCATATTGTGGGAGAGCAGATGCATAGAATAAGTTTTAATTCCAGTAACTTAGTCTAGTCCGAGTTGCTGCCAGTTGCTCCCCACAACTGGGACTACAGTTTCTGGCTGGGCTGGCATCACGGGCCTGGCGTGTGTGCCTCAGAGGGGCTGCGGGCCTGGCATGTGTCAGTGGGGCTGCAGGCCTGGCGTGTGTGTCTCAGTGGGGCCGCGGGCCTGGCGTGGGTGCCTTAGAGGGGCCGTGGGCCTGGCGTGTGGGCCTCAGAGGGGCTGCGGGCCTGGCGTGTGGGCCTCAGAGGGGCTGCGGTCCTGGCTGGGCTGGCGGCACAGGCCTGGCGTGTGTCAGTGGGGCCGTGGGCCTGGTGTGTGTGCCTCAGAGGGGCTGCGGGCCTGGCTGGGCTGGTGGCACGGGCCTGGCGTGGGTGCCTCTGGGTTCTGTGGCATTCATGTCCTCTCCTCTCGAGCGAGCCCAGGCCCCTGCTTCCTGTGAGGGAGGATCTTGTGTGGAGACTCAGACTGTGGTGTGGAGGGAAACGCTGGGTTGCTGTGCCCTTGGGCAGTGCATGGTGGGACAGGAAGCCAGGGTTGCCTGGGAGGGAGGGGGAGGGGAGAGGTGGCCTGCCGGGAAGGGGGAGGGGGCTGCTGTGTCCCACCACGCCCTGGTGCCACTTCCCATGTGTGTTCAATGCAGTACGCCTTCCCTCAAAGACGCCCACGCTGAATGGATTCCTGGCCCTCAGAAGCCAGGGTCTTCTCCAGAGGTGGGGGAGGGGCTTCCAGCAGCAGGGAGGAGCCGGGCAGTGGGGTGGCGTCGTGGCGGCTCCCCGGAAGTTGCAGACCTGCCGCGTGGGCTCTGGGCGCGCCCGTGCTGCACCCAGAGCTCCCAGGTCTGGCCCTGTGGGCGGTGCTGAGGCGCTCTGTAGCTCCTGCCTGTCGCCTGCCGCAGAAGGGTGGACCCGGGGCACGCTGGAGCCTCTCTAGGATCTGGAACAGCCTGCGGCCGGCGAGGAGGGCTGGGCCCGCGGTCGGGGCCCAGAGGAATGGACGTGGAGCCCTTCGGGCCAGGACTCAGAAGAGGGTGGCGTTTCTTCGTGGTCACAGCGGACTGGACTGATTAGCAGCCTGGTGGAGACAGGAAGTGCAGATCCGTGGAACGGAACGTGCCTGGCGGGGGGTTGAGGTGTCCTGGAGTGGACGGAACGTTAGAGGTCTGCAGACTGCCCTCTGGACCACCAAGTCACAATTGCAGAAGCGACGGCGTGTGCAGGGGAAGCAGACGCGCAGGGCAGCCTCCGCCTCACCCCTCCCCTGCCCCCGCGGAGGCCCATTCAGAGTCCTTGCTCTTGGTGCCGCCGGCGCTGGCCTGGCCTTGCTGGGCAGTTCTGCACCCCGGGGTGACGACGACGGGGCCGAGGGTGGACAGGAGGGGCTGGGAGAGGCCGCAGCAGCTGCCCCCTGGAGCCGCCTGGCTCACATTTCATGGTCCAGGCATCCGGGTGAGGCCCAGTCCCTATTTTGAGAAGCAGCTGGGGAAAGGTTATCAAGTGTCATATTTTCACCCGAGAATTAAAGGCACAGGCACTTCGCTTTAGCTCAGAAGTCCACATGGAGACAGGCCAGGTCCAGGCATCCAGGACGTCTCCCCCGCCACCTCTTCCCTGCAGGCCTCCTGGATTGCACACCGTGTCATCCTGAAAGCAGGCTGTCTGGTTTGCCCCAGGCCTTGGACGTTCTGTTTACCTACAGAGGGAGAAGTGAGGCGAGGAGATTCAACTGGAGCAGTTTTCTTAGCAAAGATTTGTTCACAGGACCGGGACCAAACCAGAGGAGGGCGGTGGGGGTGTGGATTGAGGGCCTGTGTCTGGGCCCCACGCTGCCCCCGGTGCGTCCTCGGCTCCGGGCCCGGGAGTCGGCATCGTCTTCCTGGAAAGTTCTCCCTCTCTGCTGTGTCCCCGCGGGTTCCTGGCAGGGGAGGGAGCAGGCTCGTCGGGTTTCACTGCTTTTCAGTTGTTCATAAAAGCCAGCAGGAGCAGGGCGCCTTATCAGCCGGCGGCCTGATCCATTTCACGGCGGACGCTGGCCCGTCCGGCTGTGGCGCTGCAGCTTCGTCTCGGACTCCCGCCGGCTCCGGCTCTGTTTTCTTCACAGTCCCGCCCGGCTGGCTCTCTGTTTCCCACCGGAGGAGGATCCCGCACTGTGAGCTGAGGAAAGCGAATCTCACCCGTGTGCGTTTCTCCTCCCCAGGGGCGTGGGGGCCTTGCTTGCCCTTTTGCCAGAAGTGTTGGTGGAGCCCATGGAAGGCGGGGATTGCCCGGTTTCTCGGTTGAAATCCGTGCACGTCGCCGCACATGCCCCTGGAGAACCGGAGGGTTTTCCATCCCTGAAAGTAACTGGATGCCTGCTGACAGCTCGAAATCCACTCCTGCTTCCACAAGTACCTGTTTCCTCCTGAACCTCCTGGCAAAGCGCCCGTCCTTGCAGGGGTTGTCTGTCAGGGAGTGCCTTCGCAGTGAGCCCAGACAGCTCCCCGGTGTTCGGTGGGGGTGGCACTGAGGGCCACGCAGCCCAGGGGAAACCGAGTGTTCAGAAGGCCAACCACAGATCTGCTCACTGTTTGCTTTTCTTATTTTTTAAATTGATTTATTGGGGCTGGCACCGTGGCTCACTTGGTTTATCTTCTGCCTGCGGCGCCGGCATATGGGCGCCGGGTTCTGTCCCGGTTGCTCCTCTTCCCATCCAGCTCTCTGCTGTGGTCTGGGAAGGCAGTGAAGATGGCCCAGGTGCTTGGGCCCCTGCACCCGCATGGGAGACCGGGAAGAAGCTCCTGGCTCCTGGCTTCGGATTGGTGCTGTGCCAGCCGTAGCGGCCATTTGGGGAGTGAACCAATGGAAGGAAGACCTTTCTCTCTGTCTCCCTCTCTCTCACTATCTACAACTCTACCTGTCAAATAAATAAATAAATAAAAGATGTAGTTATTTGAGAGGTAGACCCACAGACAGAGGGACAGAGAGAGGTCTTCCCTCTGCTGGCTCACTCCCCCAGATGACCGCAACAGCCGGAGCTGAGCCGATCCAAAGCTGGGAGGCAGGAGCCAGGTGCAGGGGCCCAATCACTTGGGCCATCCTGTGCTGCCTTCCCAGGTGCATTAGCAGGACGCTGGATCGGAAGAGAAGCAGCCAGCACCCATATGGGATGCTGGCAGTGCAGGCAGAGGCTTAGCCTACTGTGCCAAAGCGCCAGCCCCTCACTGTTTGCTGTTATTTTTATTTATTTATTTTACTCGAGAGCCAGAAAGAGAAATATCAAGATCTCCTATCTGCTGGTTCACTCCCCAAATGGCTGCAACAGCCAGGCTGAAGCCAGGAGCCCGGAGCTTCCTCTGGGTCTCCCACGTGGGTGCAGGGGCCCAATCACTTGGGCCGTTCTCTGCTGCTTGCCCAGGTGCATCAGCAGGGAGCTGGGTCAGAAGTGGAGCAGCCGGGAGTAGACCCAGTGCCTATATGAGATGCCAGCACTGCGGATGGCGACTCAGCCATACCACAGACTGGCCCTAAGTGGCGTCTAAACTCCAATGCCTGCCTCTCCTGGCTGCTTCTGGAATCAGCATTCCCAGTGCCACCCACAACCCACCTCTGGGATGTACGGGAGGGGCCAGGCTTCTCCATGGCCAGCTGCCAGAGCCTCCAGCCACAGGGGCCGTGGGAGCTCCGAGGCCTCCCCTGTTCCCCCAGAGGAGGCAGGAGGGAAGGAGCTGGGTCTCAGGGTGGCTGACAGCTGGGCTGTCCGTGGGCCATGCTGAGCTCCGTGGCTCGCGGCCGTGTCTCCGCTGACCTCTCACCCTGCTGTGTACCGCGGGGCCCCCGAGCCCGCCGTGTGTCGTCTGCCTGCACAGTTCGGTTGCTCAGCCGTGATGCAGGCTGGCCTCGCTGTTGCAGGCAGCTGTTTGTCACTGGAACTGGAGTCTGCAGAGAGAGGGTGTAGAGGTTCGGGCCCTAGACCCAGCAGCCCTGCTTGTCTGGGCTCCGACGAAGGCGTTGCTGCTGACACAGTCCCCAGGCAGCACCGTGTCCACGCTCCTCAGCAGGAATCCATCACAGGGCCCCGGCACAGCGGCCCAGCCCGGTCCCAACACCACAGAGGCGTGAGGTTCCCACCCCTTCCACCATTAACACGGGAGTCTCGGGGCGAAGGTTTCAGTGCCTGAACTCAGACCTGTGTCTGTCATAGCTTCAAGGCCACCTCCGCTGCACATCACCTCCCACCCGGCCCCTGCTGGGGCCCGACAGTGGCCGGAGCCCAGGAATCCTGCTGCTCTGCAGGCCCCCCCTCAGGGTGCTGTCCTCGTGGCCTCACTGGGGGCATGGGGCAAACGTGACCTTGGATGATGGCCTCTGGTTCTCTCACTACTGGTCAGCATGCCTTCCCCACACCTGCCACCCGGGAGGCTTGCCTGTGCCCTGCTGTGTGCACCCACAGCCTCTTCCATGTGGTCCCACCCCCACACAGGTCCTGCAGAGCCCCTGGGGCCCAGAAGAGCCCCCTGCCTCAGGTTGTCACGTGCTGACCCAGGCAGCCCCGAGCAGCCCGGGTCAGCCACGCTGCAGTACCTCATGGATGGGAAACCGGCTTTGAGTGCTGTCCTGCCCCTCCCCACCCAGGGACCCAGACACCAGGCTCCTGTGCAACACTGACCTGGAATTCAGCAGCCCCATGTATGCTGGGCCCC